GTATCTTTACTTATTTATCCATAGGTGACTTCAGTGCAATATAGGCAAGAATGAATAGGAGATATCAATGCAAAGTAGGTACCTATCCACAATTTCTTTCAATGCAGTATAGGAAAGACTTCACTGGAGATATCAATGCAAAGCAGGTACCTATCCACAATTTCTTACAATGCAGTATAGGAAAGACTTCACTGGAGATATCAATGCAAAGCAGGTACCTATCCACAATTTCTTAATGCAGTATAGGAAACTCACTGGGCATATCAATGACAAAGCAGGTACCTATCCACAATTTAATGCAGTATAGGTACTTCACTGGAGATATCAATGCAAAGGTGTTACCTATCCACAATTTTCTTACAAAGAATAAGGAAGAGACTTCACTGGAGATATCAATGCCAAAGTAGTAGTTACTATCAATGGTGATTTCAATAAGAAGTGTGTGTATATTGGGTTCCATCATATGGAATTTAAAACGAGTTATTCACTTATCACAAATTGTTAGTACTATTTTCCATTTTAAAAATAAAAAAAATAAATGTATGCATCAACAAATAGTCACATATTTCTTGACAGTATTCAAAAGAAGCATTACAAGGTAGTGAATGAGAGTGGTAATGCCGGAAACTGTAGCTTAAATGGGGTCAAGAGTGAGGCCGATCCCTTGAAACTTAAATATGTAGTAAGCAGACATCGGTGGGTACTCCACCATACGGAACAGTAACGTAAAACAACACAACACACAATACAACAATAACACACACACACACACACACCTATCATGCAAATTTATACCGGATAAACAAAATAACAGAGAAGGTATCTTGGCACCAGTATTAGGACATAGAAGAAACTAAATTTCAATTAAAAAATTACAGAAAGGGTATTAGATAATGTATCCTGGAAAGACTTTGTGCTGTTCCAGGTGGTGGTTATGGGGGCCACACCTGTGAACTTTAAAAATGTATGATAACTCAATTAAAAAAAGGAACAAGACGCGAATAGACGCGAGTATTATATAAAAAAAAGTGTTTTTGCAACAACAAATAAATAATAACGCATACATTATACACACTTGTGTACTCGGGTGGTCGTTAATGTAAATAGGTAATTATAGACAGGCACGCCCCCACACACGCAGGAGCAGAGACATGACCTCTCCCCCCCCAGCCACAAATAGGTCGCTGTACTAAAAAAACTGTTCGTTAAAAAAATGAGAACCTTTACGATATTTCTGTCGAATGAGAAACAGCAGGAGGAGTTTCCGTCATTTCCCCAGGAGCGACTCAGTTTTAGTGGGATCCAGAAGTTCAAAGTCACAGGTGAAGGTTAGAGCAGTTCACCTTCAAGTCTTTGCCCTGATAACCGCTTTGCAAGCCTGAGCGGTGCTGGTTCATCTCAACACATCACCCAAACACAGGATACTTACATACATATACCTTGACGTATAGGTATGTATACGTCATGGTATATGTATGAATACGTATATATACATACACATACCGTATACGTATGTATACATCACGGTGTAAATGTGTCTCGGTGTAAATATGCTGAGAGTTTAATTCCTTCTATAGGTATTAAGTATTACTGACCGGTTATGATATGCATCCTTAATGACACTTGTGTCGTCGACAGTCACTGAGCATCATCAACCAGTCAGACAACTGTCGAGAAGTTTGTTGATCCAAATGAATTAAAAGAAAGGTTATATGTTAGTGTGGTAACACTGTAATATTTCAATATCTCATATAGTTGTTACATTGTATAATGAATTCAAACCATTCTATTGTTTATATGCATGACTGTCATTGTTTGAAGCTAAAGAAGCCGACCAGTGTTCAGGTTGGATTTTGATTATATATTACCGAATTTAGCCACTTATACGATATATATGGTATGTTATAAGCGCGCGCGCGCGTGTGTGTGTGTACGCTGTGTGTGTATGTGTGTGTGTGTGTGTGTGTGTGTGTGTGTGTGTGTGTGTGTGTGTGTGTGTGTGTGTGTGTGTGTGTGTGTGTGTGTGTGTGTGTGTGTGTGTGTGTGTACGCTGTGTGTCATTTCCATAACACAAAACAGTTAATGATGGAACGATGATGAAAGTCAGTTCATATAATTTCTTATTCATCAATCATTCTCATAACCTGACTAAGTTATGTATTTTGTATTCGTATAAAACTACCTCTACTTTGTTTATTGTTACCATAATTAAAAATATTATCACCATTGTTATTACATGCGTTGTTGTTGTGCTTGTTAATGTTCTTGTGTCCAGGATTAACATTATTATTATTATTATTATTATTATTAGTAGTAGTAGTAGTAGTAGTAGTAGTAATAGTAGTAGTAGTAGTAATAGTAGTAGTAGTAGTAATAGTAGTAGTAGTAGTAGTAGTAGTAGTAGTAGTAGTAATAGTAGTAGTAGTAGTAATATAGTAGTAGTAGTAGTAGTAATAGTAGTAGTAGTAGTAGTAGTAGTAGTAATAGTAGTAGTAGTAGTAATAATAGTAGTAGTAGTAATAGTAGTAGTAGTAGTAGTAGTAGTAGTAGTAGTAGGAGTGATACTAGTATTCACGTTAAACCTTAATGACCCTGGTGCAGTCGATAGGTTTTCAACCCCAATTACCAGAGCAACTCACACTGCGAAAATTATTATTTTACAAGACATGTTAAATTTATCATGAAGGTTTTAGTGAAAAACAGCTTTGTGTATTTAATATTTGTTTAATTCCCAAAGTTCTAATGAACTACATGTCAGGCATTATTGAAAAAAAATATTTAATCGTTAGGCATTAAGCGGAATGCATATGATTATTTATATATATATATATTAGTGAACAATGTTTAATTTTTTACCCATTTCCGTAGCTTCCTGCTGCCATAGAACCTAAGCTACATCTCGGAAACTGTAAGACTTTATATTGGAAGTAATAGATCTATTAAAATACCACAAACATCACAGACAAGGGTAAATCTTAAATCTAAAACTTTAACTTAGAAGGACATCAACAGATGCTTCGAAACATAAGAATGTGTAACTGTTGGCTTGAATGTTTTATCATCACTTAAGAGGAAAGAGGTACCTAGGTGTTGTGTTTCTATGTTACATGCTGGAGAAGAGGACATATAGGCCTTATTACAAATAAGTCACATTGATTGGCTTTATTGGGTTATATATATATATATATATATATTATATATATATATATATATATATATATATATATATATATATATATATATATATATATAAAATGTAAGAAAAATAATGCAGATGCATCTTTTAGTCAGTTGTGTTATATATTATATATTATCAGTAAATGATCCTTTACTTGTAGATACTTTTTCTTTGATATCAAAATTAAGTGTTTACATAGTAGATCAAATTCATGTATTACGTCAACGTCGTATATGATTTTTTATTAACTCATGCAATTTGATGATATCAAAAGGATGAATTAAAATCTAATACGGTAAAAAACACTGAATAGTAAAAACATTCAAACACTGAAGAATGAGCAATGAAAAATTACCAGCCTTCACTAGACACTTGCACCAGTGTCAAAGGACAAAGAATATGTACATCAGCTGGTAAGTGAACATTTTCCATCACACAACCATGACTTAGATCTATAACTGTCTCTAAGCACAATATCTAATCTAATAGTACCAAACAAATCTTTGGATCAAAGCCACATCAACAGAGGAGGTCAAGGTTTGTGACCAACCTTCCCTCTACAATCTCTTCCTCGACTGTCGAAGTTTCTTTGACAGCTAATCAGCTTGAAGTTTCTCGAATTTAAATCTTTAAAAAGTAATCTTCAGGTGCTTGTAATGCTGCTGTGTCAGGACTAAATGAGGAAGCTTTAGCACACCTCTGTGACAAGACTCATGGCCGTGTGCAATGTTGCAAGAAAAACTACTAATTGAGGAGATATTCTTTTCCCCTTTGCGTTATTTACGGGCTCAGGTGACCCTCTCCTCTCCTACTGTCCTCTCCTACTGTCCTCTCCTAACGTCCTCTCACGCGTCCCGAGTACTCTTGATTAATTTGATAAAGCTTGGTTTCCAAAGGAAACGTTGAATTTTGCCTCTGTCTTCGTTTTTCTAGGTTAATTATGTTCAGAGTATGAGGCACAGGAATTTCATTGCTCCTCCAGGCGCCTCTGAGCGACGTCTGGGATGTATTAAAACGCATACCAAGCTTAAAAACAACCTTCCTTCAAGAAGGGGAGGGGAGGATGGTACCTTGATGCTGGTGAAGACTTGATCTCTTCCTAGAATTAAATCTGATTACCTCCTCCCCCGCCTCCCACATTCCATTCACCAGCCACTATAAGATATATCCTTTGGGTTCATACAGCGCCTGGTGTTACAGCATAAATAATATTGAGAAAAGACCTTCAACAGCCTTCTTATCTGCCCATCTGACTGCCTGCCAGCATATTTTTAACCTAAAAAATGTTTCCAGTAGTTATAACCGCTGGAAACTTGCTCTTAAGTTCTTATTGGCTTAAATATATATTACTTCTTTTGCGATTCTATTCCAGAAGCCTACCACTTTATTTATACAGAAATGCTTTCGAGCATTATCCTTGACTTGTTTATATTTACAATTTTTGACTCCCGTAGGTGACTCCTGTCTCTTCAATTCCTCCAGTTTACCATCGAATGCATTTTATGTATTTTCAGTCATTGTAGTTCAACTCACTTACCTATAATAGCTATTCTGAAACATATCATTGGATATTTTTATTTTACCTACATATTTTGCAGTTGTTGAGACTTACTACGACTTCGTTTTCTAGTTTATCTTCCGTAGTTACACGTTCAGGTATAGCTGATGTAAGGAGTGCCATCCGGGTGCCCCCCAGAGCCTCATTCAGGTCACTAGGACTGAGGTCACTAGCCTCAGTTGGCTGAGGCGCGATACTCTTCTCAGCTCTTAGTTCTACTTTTCTCTGTATCGTTCTTTGATTAGCTCTGTCGCTAATTTCTTCTGCAACATCTCTTTGAAATAAAGCTTTGCGCGCATCTGAACTACGTTAAGTAGTAGTGTGTGGTGCACCAGCATAGTAAGAAGGGAGGAGCAGAATACTAGGGGAAAGCACGGTCGGGTTGTGGGGGATATGATTCACACCAACACTGACCTTAATACTGTGTTCCTGTCATACTCTCAGTTTTCTTCATTGCTATGAACACTAACCGAGATCATATTTTGTAGATAAGTGTTATTTGCCTTTCGAACTGACCTTGCTCTAACCATGTTTTGACTTTGGTTTTACATTCCCTGTGGCATGGCTATGAACACCATTTTCAAGAAGAATAAGTCACAATGCCGTGGCTGGAACAATTCACAAATAACGCAAACTTAAGGGAGGAAATCCTAAATAGCGTATCGGCCCTTAATGGACCATTATTAAATTGGTTTTTCTTTGCAAACTGATTCTACTGTGAGCACTCCTGTGAAGGAGACGTTTGTTGGTGATGCACAGGTCACTGGAGAACCACACTACTGTGATCACTCCTGTGAAGAAGACATCTACTGGTAACGTACATACGTCACTGGGGAACCACCGAAAATATCCGTTTACAGTTATAATTCTTAACAGAGAGAGCCGCGGGGAAGAATATTTCGTCAAACGTTAAAAGCTTATCTGGTTATAAGTTCGTCTTCAAGCAGGGAGTCTTTATAATGTTGAAGGTCTCCTGGACTATATGATCCTTACTGGTTTAGCACTTTACCATGATTATATGAGGAATAATACCCTCTAGCAGTCACAGGCGTGCTTAATTTGTCTATATATTTTTAAATTATTTAATACAATGTCTGAAAACCGCGAATTATATTATGTTACTATTTTTTCACTGCGTATGTGTTTGTGTGTGTGCGTGTGTGTGTTAGAGGTATTAAGGCTGGAAGGTGTGGAGGATATGCAAGGTTGTTGGCACTACTGCTCCACAGGAATGTTACTGACCTCCTGTACAGCTAGAACACAACCGCTACATCTCGTCCTTTACAAACAACAACAAACAAATCCCTTTCGTCTGGCAGAACCTGGGCAACTCTGGGCAGCTCTGGGCTTTTCGTCGTTTCAAATTTTTAATACCTTGAAGAGCTATGAAAAAGTAAATATTCGTAGTAAGGATAAGAAACTGCTGCACTGTTAATGAATTCTACCTCATTTCAAAAAAGAATACTATTTGACCTATCCGTTACATATATAGTGAATACGAGCAGTAAGAGGAGGCACCAGAAAATCGTAGCTTTGTGTCCTCAGAAGAACATACTGGTGTCAGACATTATCAAGAACCCAAACTGGTGTCAGACACTCTCAACGTCAAATCTTCCCACTGGTGCCAGTCATCCTCATGGATCAAGGTTGGAGTTAAGCGTATCAACACAGAACTCGTGGTGACCAGAGCACAACATTCAGCTAGCGTTGCTGTCTGGTCAGTAATTTCTAGTGTTTGAACTGTAAACAAAAATAATCTAAAGGAATCAGTGTGGTAGCCGATGGAAAGGTGAAGAGAGCAAAGCGAACGTATAACATATTTCTATCTATGTTGTGTTGGAATGCAGAATATAAAGATACTGAGTAACCAATACGTCATGTAAGCGTGAACCCCAATCAACTTCTTTTACACAAATTAATGTATCTTTACAGAATCTCAAACGGCCTCTTCACCTGAAATTATGGGACACTGCCTAATGATACGGATTCTTTATCTTGTTATATAGTGGTTTTCATTTATTTGTTTTCACGTCACTGTAAAATCTTCAAAGTAGTTTTTTGTGGTCAAAGACCTTTGAAATTTCTGTTATATATAGAGATTCCACGTTAGTATCCTTACTTAGAATCTGGAACGAAATCCTCTAATTAGTTTGGCACTTTCGCCAAACATAGGAAATTTATCACATGAGCAGATGAGAAACATTATCACCTGTGGTTGCAGCTTCCACAAGGATTTGAGACACGGTACTTCAAGGGTAGTTTATCCTAGATTCAGATCGAGAAGTTCGATGAGGGTAGTAGTCACTGGGATCTCAGTGGTAAAGTTGTCGTCCGCATCAGGGTGCGGACCCTCGTGTAAATATTCTCGAAGTCGTCCTTGATAGTTGCAGGGCCTCCACTGATCACGTCCCACTCGACCTACATAGCACCTGCCAAGAAACATATCCCTAATCAACTGTACACTGATATGTAACTTATACACATGAATAAAGATAACCTCCCCTACCCCCCCCCCCCACTAACGTAATGGGGTAAAATGACAAGACAAGTTTAAAGAACCTCGAAAAAATTTTCATCTCAGCTTGAAAGTCTACCAAGGAAAGAAAATACTGAGCTAAGGTTACTTAAAAATTTAAACAACAGTTATGTAGGAAACTTTATTTAATACTGCAGGAATATACTGGCACCAGGAGAAATATTAATACTACTGAGAAGCTATAAGTATCAAAGTATTTTTACGGCCATGCATGTTATGGGTACAACAAAACAATAACAACAATAGCAACAAAAATAACAAAAATTACGAAAATAATAACATTCTCAGGGGTAATCCCACGAAAATTTTATTACTTCTGACCCGAGGGAAAATTCTCTGACACTTTTGTGAATATTATGAGAGTTCATAAAGTGGTGTGAAATTTTACTTATGCTACAAAAGGCACGACTTATGTGGGTCACAGTAAACAGGTGATATCACAATATTCAGAACAACTACTGTGAAAAAAATAGTGAATTTCCAAGCGCTTCTGTGAGTACTGACGTGGTAATAGATACCGACAAGTTGGCATCTAATACCACCACCTGACAACACAGGAGTCACATGATCCCACTGTCTACCTGTCCTGTTACGATCATAAATCTACCTTGTAGTTGGTGGCGTTAATATTTAGGAAGTCAACTCCAAGAGAAGTTCAGAAAAATGCCTCAGTAAGTTGTATTATGATTATTATTATTAATTATTATTATTAACTCTATGTTCATTTCACTGGAGATTTTTTAATTATGAAGAATTATAACACCAGCAGTGTTCTGACCAGCACGTAAGTTTTCCGGTGTTGTGGCTGCAGTGTAACGGGACTTACCATGGGGTCGGGTAGTCTTCAGAATAACCACACCGCTGGCGTGGCCTACAGCAGTAGTCCCAAGCGCCGGTGTGGTCGACCTCGCAGAAGTAGTAGCCACCCTGACGGTGCATCCTGCAGTGGTCGCGGTAACAGCGGACTCCCGTCACTACCGCCATTCCTTCCCCAGGGGAGTACTGGTTCTCATAGTCACCATCGTCTGTAGGGGAAGGGGGAGCTTTGAAGGCTGCATGTCTGCCCAAAAAAAACTATAATTAGGAGAGGAACATTATGATTGTGTTTCGGTCCTTACTTGGCTATCGTCAGGTCACAACTGGAGCGTGACAATTATTCAGGACGGACCGAAACGTCGTAATAAGGCTCCTCTTCTAATTGCGCGGATTCTGGATGAATGTTCCAGCCAAAACATTGTGACTGTTTCATCATCATCATTATCATCATCATCTTCTCTCTCTCTCTCTCTCTCTCTCTCTCTCTCTCTCTCTCTCTCTCTCTCTCTCTCTCTCTCTCTCTCTCTCTCTCTCTCTCTATCTCTCTATCTATCTATCTATCTATCTATCTCTCTCTTTATCTCTCTCTCTCTCTCTCTCTCTTCTCTCTCTCTCTCTCTCTCTCTCCTCTCTCTCTCTCTCTCCTCTCTCTCTCTCTCTCTCTTTCTCTCTCTCCAGCCAACTTACCAACGCTGCACTCCCTGTCGTAGATGCGTCGCTCGTAGAAATCGGAATCCTTCTGATGGATCAGGTTGTAGTGGAGGTTGTGCTTGGATGGAGCGTTCGTGCTTCTTGAGTCCTTAGAACGTTAACAGGCTCCGTTGAGTTTTATCTTTATTATACAGATTAATTATTATTATTATTATTATTATTATTATTACTATTACTATATTTAGTAGCAGCAGTAGTAATAACTAATAATAATTACAATAATAAGTCTTAATTTTTAATGCTAATTTTAGTTTTTGTCTGGGCCATAGTTAGAGGCTGGAATATTAATATAAATTTGCAGCAAGTTTCTCGGATCATGTGTTCTGAAGAGTCGGAAAAAATTCTTTACGTTTTATGCTGTGTTCATCAACATTAAATCCAGGAAGACGAGGAGGAGGAGGAGAAGGAGAAAGAGAAGGAGGAGGAGGAGGAGGAGGAGGAGGAGGAGGAGGAGGAGGAGGAGGAGGAGGAGTTCTTCAATTTATATGTCAACACTGAAATTATTCACTGGTTCCCACTATTACATTTAAACACTGATATAATTGCGGATGTTCACACTTTCCATAGCAAACCTGCTGCAGTAGGGATGGATGAGTGTTCCACTAGCGACAAAAGTGAGCTTCTTCCTGTCGCTGTCACAGGTCAGCCTTGGGTGGGTAGCTCAAGGGTTGTATAGGTATATCACACTGCATTAAGCTCTATAGAAGTAGAGCGTCTTCCCTCGGGGTAATAATACAGCCTAGGTGAAAGTTATCTCCGGGAGACACGACCTACATACCAGCGTGTCTTGTGAGAACCTCTCCTGCCTGCCCTCATACCCTCCTTCCAACCTGCCCTCCAGCCTTCCCTCCTTGCCTACCCAAGAACCTGCGTCTCCTTTCGTCACACCTGTCCCCAGATATCCCTTAACTGTCCGCTTATATGTCTCTTCTGTCCAAACTGCTTCCTCTGTCCTTCCTTCCTCCTATTTCTACTAATGTGCATAAACATTAATCATGCCCCTTTTGTATGTTTTATTCTCCATTACATAGCCTCCTATTACCTTTATTTTGCCTATTTATACTACTGGTTCTCTTATACCTCAGTATGTCTCTATTGGCAATTCCACCTGCTGGTCTACCCGTCTTTGTACTCGTATAAACGATTTCCTATTATGGTTCACAATAGTGTTTTAACCTGGCTTTACCCGAGTGTGTTTCCTGGGTTTATATGCACTAGTCTGGTTATTCAATGAGTGGACAGTGAAACACAGGAGTGCTCAAGAAAATGACCATAAGGCTGACCACATGTGTTTACTCAGATCATTATATATGCATCTGCCAAAACTACTCGTACGTATAGTGATAGGTCAGGGCACTTTATTAATGAAAATAAGATATCAGACATATTAAGCAAAAGTCCTAAATATTCTTGCAACAGATGAGGCAATAAATTCAGATGTACTCCTGTTTACCTTTTCAGTTCCTAGTTCTTGGGCCATTTGTTTACCCACTTCGGATTTATTTTAATCATATAATAATGCGGGATTACCAAAACTGTTGTCCAGAGGGCTGAGGAAGGGTTGTTGAGGTGGTTCGGACATGTGGAGAGAATGGAGCGAAACAGAATAACTTCAAGAGTGTATCAGTCTGTAGTGGAAGGAAGGCGGGGTAGGGGTCGGCCTGGAAAGGTTGGAGGGAGGGGGTAAAGGAGGTTTTGTGTGCGAGGGGCTTGGACTTCCAGCAGGCATGTGTGAGCGTGTTTGATAGGAGTGAATGGAGACAAATGGTTTTTAATAATTGACGTGCTGTTGGAGTGTGAGCAAAGTAACATTTATGAAGGGGTTCAGGGAAACCGGCAGGCCAGACTTGAGTCCTGGAGATGGGAAGTACAGTGCCTGCACTCTGAAGGAGGGGTGTTAATGTTGCAGTTTAAAAACTGTAGTGTAAAGCACCCTTCTGGCAAGACAGTGATGGAGTGAATGATGGTGAAAGTTTTTCTTTTTCGGGCCACCCTGCCTTGGTGGGAATCGGCCAGTGTGATAATAAAAAAAAAATAATGCCAGTTTGGCAGTAATAAAAATATTAATAAAGAAGAGATGTAGGAAGAAGAGAATAAAGAGAAAGGAAGAAAAGGGATATCTTTATAGCCTTTTAAACTACAACCTATTAAAGTTTAGGACTTTTGGGGAAATTAATTGCGAGTCTTAAATTTAGTATCAAAAGTAATTTAAATTTATAAATGCGAATGCATTATTATTTATTAATTATTGTAATTACTAATTATTATTATTATTATTATTATTATTATTATTTATTATTTATTATTATTATTATTATTATTATTGCTCATTAATAACTCACATGGAGACAGAAACTCAGGAAATTAATTGATCTGTATACTTCGACCCCCTTCTAGGATCCTCTTCATCTGCTGAAGAGGATCCTAGAAGGGGGTCAAAATATACAGAACAATTAATCTCATAAGTTTCTGTCTCCACGTGAGTTATTATTCAGTATTGATAAGTGTTCATGATGCTTTAAATATCATTTTTATTATATTATTTTCATATTATTTATTATTATTATTAATAATAATAATAATAATAATAATAATATATAATAATAATAATAATAATAATATTATTATATATTATTATTATTATTATTATTATTATTATTATTTTATAATTACTCTTACTTTCGTGTTTCCCTTAAGACCATGCATCTTGTGTAACAGGTTTTTGCATGCTGTCTGGATTGTGTTGGCAACGTCTTAAACCTGGTGTGAGTCAAGAGAGTTTCTTTACCGCTTCATCTCCACGCAAAGTGTAGCGATGCTTTACTGACTTTATATATAAAGGCTTTGAAAAAATTGGATGTGAGTAGGCAACCGTTTCACTCACGTACCACCAGTGATATTTATGGTTAAATATACACTTTTGTAGCTTTATGAAACCTAAACTAATTCAGTCTTACAGAAAAACAATTCCTAGGACCGGTCTTCCATGGATGACATCGTGTATCCATAGGTTATCTGTAGGTGGGTCCGGAGGTCATCACTCCTTCTAGCCTTTCTCAGACTAGGCCTCCTGAGTGAAGCTTATCCTGTCACGATCATGGTGTCTGGCGCTTTCTTTTGAATGTAGTAAATATATATATTATATATATAATATATATATATATATATATATATATATATATATATATATATATATATATATATATATATATATATATATATATATATATATATATATACATATATAATTTTAACGAGGCTGTTGGTATTAACTTATTACGTTTCAAATGCATATATTACAGACTTCCTGATCACAAGTTTAAGAGGAGCATGCAAAGTTTGTTCTTGAAGGCATCCAGTCGTCTGTTGGTAATTTCCCTTATATACGGAGGGATGAGCATAACTCTACTAGAACGCTCTTCAGTTCTTGGGTTCTAATGTTCTTATGAATCTGAGACTTGAGATCCGGTAACTGGGAAGAACAGTATAGACAAAGCGTCTCGTTGACGTGTTTCTTAGTCTGAACTAGAGATTTTGTGTCGTAAGTGGGAAGAAACTAAATTTTTATGATAGGTAATGTTTTCTGAGGCATTAGACCTTTGTTATGAAAAGACAGAGGTCTAATGACATCCCCACCTGTCCTACACCATCACAATCAACATCTGCCCTACACCACTACCACCTGCCCTACACCACTACCACCTGCCCTACACCATCACTAGCCCTACACCACTACCACCTGCCCTACACCACCACCACTATCTGTCCTACACCACCACTATCACCACCTATCCTTCACCACCATCACCACCACCAGCACCACTACCCCCTGCCCTCACCACCCCCACCTACCCAACGACAGCACCTCCCCTTCACTACCACCTGCCGTACATCCCAGTATCCTCTAGTTTCTTCACTTGCACCAATAAAGAAACTATGGCCAACATAGACATGTGTAAAGAAAATCTGGTTTATGAAGCGTCCTCACGAGCACAAGATAAAGTGTCGACATAATCACAGATCCTGCCACTGAATGCTCCAGGAAGAAAGGATTTATTTCATGAAGGAAATGTATTGTGACACAAGTCTAAGCCATTTAATTGCCAACTCAGTGGGGTTTTGGGAATCTGACCGAGGCCTCCTCTTGTTTTACTGGTTCACTCCGTAAAACAACTACCTATATCACACGAGGATTTGTGTATTTTAATGAGAGATGTAAACGATAGTTGAAAGTAAGGACAAGATTTTATAAGTAAAAAATTATTAGAGTATATATTATAATCCTTCATATCCAAACATGCTAAGATATTTTCAAATCCATTTTCATTATGTTTTCTCTCCATGTAATTAACAAATAATAATAATAATAATAATAATAATAATATAAATATTTTTATTTCTACAAGTACATGTACAATGTGTACAGTCCTAGCTGACATCAGTGATATACTACTATATAGAAAGCAGATTGTTATGCTGAGCATTTCGGGCAAATTAGATCAGTTTTGTCCCAGAATGCGACCCACACCAGTTGACTAACTCCCAGGTACCCATTTTACTGATGGGAACATAGACAACCGGTGTAAGGAAACACGCGCAATGTTTCTACCCTCGCCGTGTGAAGCGAGAGCTTTAGCCACCAGGCCACGGGGCACCGTTGAAATTAGTTGTTATTTATAAAAGTGCTACGAGGAATCCAAGTCCACAAGGTATTAGTATTAATGTCATATATATACCCCTTCAAGAATGTATAATATTCATAACTTTTAAATATAAACGAAGGCATTTTATTATTTCCTGAGCACAATGAATAAGAGAAAGGCCAGGGAGTGTGTCGCTGGCTTTGTATCACCGCTTGTGATCAGCTCTTATAAAGGAAGTGCTGCGTCCTGCCTCCAAGCACTTTCTCTTCAAGGGGCTCATGTTTGCACTACTGTGTATGCGTGTTTCTCGTTGAGTTTACATTGATAGAGTTCTAGTTCTTGAGTCTTCCTCTTATGTTTAGATGGATCGACGAAGTTATGCTTAGTTGTACGTACTTTTGAGTTAGTATACGGAGGGAGTCTCGGTGGTGTCGCTCCCTGGCCCCTTCCACTTCTTTAACAACATCACACTGAAAAGTGTTTTTAAATGTTTCCTTGACTTGTGTGGATATTGGGCTTCCACCTGTAGCCCCTGATCCCTCCCACTTACTCTACGTATTTACCACTGTGCCTTTCTTTTCCACAGTCTTGCTTCCTTCCATGTATTCATCTAGATGCATGTTTTTTTGTCATTTGTGTCTCTTTGTTATGCTCCCTCTCGCTTACTCATCTAGGTATTTACTTTCCATTTGTATAGTCTAGTCTTTTTCCCTCGCACTTTCTCATCTAAATGTTTACATTTCATCTATGTCCTCTCATTCTGCGCCCTTCCAAGTCAGTGTTTTTATTGACCCTACTGACTCTCCGGGTTATTTCTCTCATCATGATCATATCACATGTTCAGCATTTCTCTAGCGTCGGTCTATCGTCATAACAGTCAGTCATTCCGCTTCTTACCTGAACGAGAAAGACTTGCAGGTGAAGAGCCTAGAGCGCTCGCACCTTTCCTCACACTCCCGGATATCGGCCGCAGTCCAGCTATCACGGACGACGCGACCCTCTAGTGCTATCTCCATTTCCACCAACCGGAAGCACTCTATTGCGGAGAATGAAGAAAGGTTAGGGCAACGACTTGGTGAAAGTCAGGCTAGGTAATAGCTCTTGTGGAGAGCCTAGTGTGTGTGTGTGTGTGTGTGTGTGTGTCTTTCATATTGTGAACATGCAGTCTGAGGGTCATGAACTAGAGGGACATATTAGAGAGAGATATATATCGATAGGTCCTCATTTTTTGTTATTATTATTATTTATACACTATTTCTCTTGTTATATTCAATGGGAGATGCTGAACCTGAAGGTGTCAGAGAATGCCAAGGGTAGGGGAGGCAATAAGATTGGATTCCAGGAAAAGGGAGGGCTAGCATCACTTCCTTGAATCAAGAGCTTTTCAGCAGCAGCATCAAGGTACCGCGAAATACTTTATCAGTGTAAAATAATAGGTATTTGTGACCTTATTCCTTGCTCTCATTAGTAGACATTTCATCTAATTATTGTCGAGATGATTGGTTAATGGAATTTAAAGTCTATCAACAGCACTAGGGTTATAAAGGTTAGCTGAGGTTTTTAATTTAGATTTTTTCCAAAAATAAAATTTTCTGCATAACTGTCAGTGAAAAAATATATCTATCACTATGTTAAATAAAAAAAAAACTTGGAAAAGCCTATTTTTTAAGGGAACTCGGCCTAGTTGACCCATTCATCTTATTAGGCACGCGCATACCCTCTTCACCAGATGAGAATATTTTAATGCCTATAATGGGGATTAAAGTAAATTCTCAGCATATACACGGTGAGAGAAATAAACCTCTCGATGTATATATCCAGTGTTTGACTGGGTTAAACTTGGTTAATGGGGTTTAAATCCTATCTACTACACTATGCTGCACTTTAACCACTTTTGCCACTAGCTATATACCTTGCATACATACACTCAGGATATATACCCTGTGAAAAATATACCCCATAGGGAATACATTCTGTACTGAGAGAAATACTCCTTTCGGTATATATATATATATAATAATAATAATAATATATATATATATATATTTATAAGTATATATGTACAAGTATAGATCATAGTATATTAATATATATATTTATATAAAATTTTGATATATAATATTATATGAAATATATATTATTTTACAGGTATGTACAGGACAAGTCCTAGTTGACAACAATGACATACTGCTGTATAGAAGCCTTGTTATGCAGGATTTTGGCAAATTAGGTCAGTTTGTCCGGATGTACAACACAGTCAACTAACACATGTACTTCTACTGTGGGAACTAGCCGGGATAAGAACATGCCCATGTTCTACCTCTCGAATGCCTGCACCCTAGCCGTGTGAAGCTACAGTTTTAGCCACCAGTCCACGGGGCATCCTCTGTGTTTGACTAATAACTAGGACAGGTATTATATATAGTCTGATGTAATATATGCAAGAACATTAATGATATTAAACCCTTACAGAGAGGTGTCTTAATGCAGATGAGGGGCTCTTGATCCAAAAAAAATGAGCCTGTCCTTCCTTTCCTTGGATCGAACCTGATCATCTCCCATTGGAAATAAGTCACCAGCTCTGACTTTTTTGGGGGAGGGAAAGGGGGGTTCTTAGGCAATTTGCACTATGTATGATAATTGTTCTCGTGTGTACCAGTGCCTAGATAAACTTACATTTTCCTAGGTGCGTTACCCCTTGAAAGTAAAATATATTTTTTGATGAAAGAAAACTATTGGTGCTTCACAGTTTATAGAAAACAGTGCGGAAAGTACGGTATTTTACCCCAGACTACGCTAGTTGCAACCCGTCCGTGTTACTGAAGTTAGTGACTTTCTATACAGGTTCATTGAGCAAGTTGCGATTTTTACAACTGGATTATGTTGTAACTTGTGTTTAAAGTAACCTCAATAAAGTTAAACAGGACGACTTAATTTAGTTACGAAGATCTATCACAATTTTTTTTACGAATTAAAGGCAAAATAAAATTAATATATCACACAGGATATGTTTTTCGGGTCATCGAAAGATTAAGGCCCGTGCCAGGAAGCCTGTCCTGGTTAATTATATATACTCTGAAAGGTGTATATCTCTCAGCGTATATATGATGAGAGTTTACTGTAATTCCTAGTGATGTCTTAATACCCCTAGTGTAGTCGATAGGTTCAAACTCTCCTCCCCCTTAACCACCCAATTAGATGTCTCTGAGTAGAAATCAAGAAGATTCCCTCCCCGGCCGTATTAACGTCATAGAGAAATGCCCGTCGCGTTCTACATACCACTAGATACCAAAAGGAACCCATAGAACTAAGGTTATCGGCGGGGGGTATGGTTTGTTTGCATCTGTTTCACTAGCAGTTGACGGACGTGAGGATTAGTAGAGCTTCGTCAGGTTCACTCCTGGAGATGTTGTAAACACTTATTTGGTGGCCTTTGAGGTAGACTACAACCTTCCAGGTGCAAAATATACTAAAACTACTAGTGTTAAATGTAACCACGGGCTGAGGTGATGATCTATGACGGGGTCATCCCGGAGGGGTATGGTCATGTCTGAGAGAAATACACAGGACATGATTTCTCTCGGCGTTATAAGATGCTGAGGGTACTAACACAGCAAAGGACTGAGAGAACTAATTATGGTCAGACGGGCGTATGAGGTTAGTCTATTTTCACTACAGTAAGGTACTGGATTAGGGGCTGTCGAGTTCGATCTGAGGATGTAATACACTTATCTGGTCTGGGCTTTGAGGTGAATGACTACACTCAAGCTGCAGAACATAACTACAATAGTAAATATAACACGGCTGAGGGATTGATCACTGTCGAGGCTGAGGGACTGATCACTGTCGAGGCTGAGGGACTGATCACTGTCGAGGCTGAGGGACTGATCACTGTCGAGGCTGAGGGACTGATCACTGTCGAGGCTGAGGGACTGATCACTGTCGAGGCTGAGGGACTGATCACTGTCGAGGCTGAGGGACTGATCACTGTCGAGGCTGAGGGACTGATCACCTCAAACTACTTCCTCATATCTTCCACCGCCTCCAGGAATTATTCTCTGTATTGGATTCATGAAGCCGCACTTTAGCGAAACATCTCCACAATAAAGATACCTAAGTGTTGCACATATATCTTATTCATCTAAGGTAGAATCAATGTATGTTAGGCAAGACAACAAGGCATAACCATTGTGTCTTACGCAAGACAATGTTATTCAACACAGTAAACAAAGGTTCACACACTCTTCAGAACCCCAGAATAAGAAGTATTGCTGTTGACTAAGAAGTACATTGTTAGGGGTTAAATTTAAATGTCCACGACAAAAAAAATTATTTACCATTCCTTCCGCCATCGATGCCGCCGCCGAAACTGCCACCACTGCCGCCGAAACTGCCTCCACTGCTGCCACTGCCGCCACTGCTGCCACTGCCGCCCCCGCCACCAATACCGAGTGCGGAGCTAAAATATAGAGTAAAATAACTTTTTTTTTCACATATACTAATAACAGTGACGCATGATTCTGAAGGCACACTGTAAACCTCTTGTGAAAGTACAAGCTTTTCCAAGCACTTTCCCCTGCACGGTAGCCCGTGGCATGGTGGCAAAGGCCTCGCTTCACACGGTGAGGTCCGGGTTCGATTCCCGGCGAGGGTAGAAACATTAAGCGTGTTTCCTTACACCGTTGTCTATGTTCACCCATCAGTACAATAGGTACCTGGGTACTAGTCGACTGAGGTGGGTTGCATCCTGGGACAAACTAACCTAATTTGCCCGAAATGCTCTGCATAACAAGCTGCTTTCTATACAGTAGTATGTCATTGTTGTCAGCTAGGACTGCGTAACTTGTACTTGTAGAAATAAAAATATATTATTATTACAGGAGGGAATACATCTGAGAGCTGCTGGGGTGAGAATTTACACTTACAGAACAAAATCCAGTGTCCGTTTTGAATAATATATTTGTCTAATGAATTTCAGCATTCTAATGTTGGACGCAGACTCTGCCTCTTCCTCCATCCTGCCAAACGTAAGTAATAAACAGACATTTCTGTCAGTCTAACATAGCAGAATACTTTGTTATTGCTATTTCAGAAATTATTAAGATCATATCACACAATCTTTATTCTTTTTGTTTCTTGTTTACATCTTAATTCATTGGTATTGGACGCCTACTGTCACTATTAATTTCGCCCATAATTTCCTCATTTTGTTTAAATTTTGCTGCAGAATATTTTATTGTTGTCGATTTCCTATTGTGCATGCGATTGTCGTATCTCCTGCAAGAATATTTCTATAAGAATACAGATATTCCCTTTGGCAAGTAATTAATAAAAATGAAGAACATCGCTGGGGTAATGATCCACAAAGGACCCAGCGAGTGACATTGAAGTGTGTGTGTGTACCTACCTATTTGTGGTTGCAGGGATCCATTCACAGCTCCTGGCCTCCCTGTATATGTGATGTTGTTAGTGTGTGGGTGTGGTGTGTGTGTTGTGTGTGTGTGTGTGTGTGTGTGTGTGTGTGTGTGTGTGTGTGTGTGTGTGTGTGTGTACGAGACACGCACTCACCTGTAGCAGTCGCGAGTTTTCTTCTCGTAGAAGTCAAAGTCTTCATCTCTGGTAAAGTCGTAAGAGTTGGTGGCACCTTGGCTGCTTAACTCGCAGTTTTCTCGGTACTGCTCGAATCCGTGGGTCTTGAACCTGCAACCACGCCACACATGTTGAATATTAACACCTCACAATATTGCAACCATACGATATATGTTGAGCACAACAACTCACATCACTGCAACCACACAACATATGTTCACTGGATCCTGACATACTCATAATATCGCATATACTCACACAATGAATGTAAATTTAAAAATAATAATTAATAATTATTAAAACAATAATAATAATAATTAAAACAATGATAATTATTAAAATAGTAATAATTATTAAAACAATAATAATTATTAAAACAATAATAATTGCAATAATGTCAAAGTTATTATTTAGTAAATCTAACAATACTGGTGACCTGTTGTATCCCACCAGCACACGCCACCACTCGAGCCATGAACAGATTAAAGGACCACAATCCAGAAGTCATATTGTTCTTAGTGGACTGTGGTGAATCACATACTGATACCACAATATTCACAATTTACCCTCCACTACATCACCCACCATAGTACCGTGATTCATGGCCTTCATCCACCCTTCCCTCCACACCTCTCGTTATAAAGTGAAAATCACAATGACCCGGATGAAACAATTTGGAACTCAAGGACTGATGTAAGAATTTAACTTTATAACAACAATAATAATAATAATAATAATTACATTATCATTATTGTAATTGTTGTAAATATTTAATTTTTTTTACAATAAGGAGGCACTTTATTTACAGGAATATATAAATATGTTTATATCATAAAAATATTCGATGCCTCGCGAGGTTTTAACATTCGGCAGAAAATTCAAATGAGAGGAAATTCTTTCCATTCCTGGAGAAAAATTTTTTGCAGGTGAGTCTTAATTCTCTCCTGTTAGTCTTTCTTGGCAATTAATAATTTTAATTAGGTACAGGTGTACGGTTTTAAATGATTACATTTGCCTTACTTAATAACAGTGTGTAAACAGCGTAAGCCCCCCCCCTCCTCCCCCTCTTTCCATAAAACAACAACAATAAAAAACAGTCAAAATTATTTTATGTCTATCGGCAGAGGAATGGATGCTTAGGAAGCTGGTGAATTCTGAAATTGTAGGATGACGTCTACCTATCAGAATCAGCTGTCCATCCATCCATCAGAGACGTGTGTCCGCCCATCAGAGACGTGTGTCCGCCCATCAGAGACGTGTGTCCGCCCATCAGAGACGTGTGTCCCTCCATCAGAGGCGGGTGTACGCCCCCCAGAGACGCGTATGCTAATGAGTTAGCGCTGATGTTATCTCATTGACGGGGTTGGGATAAACAAAAGCTGACCTCCTGACACACTTCGAGCCCCTCCCCCTCCCGAGTGAATTGCTGTTTAAAATGCGCTTAAAAAAATCGTGTCGACACACTGTCGTGTTGTGGCGTTTAAAAATGCTTCCTGAAATCCTAAAGTATCTCTTTCTTTCCAGCATCTTCCTCGTCTCTTCTACTGACTCGCTATCCTTACTTCCTGACTGACTGCTGACAGGTGTTTCCTACAGGTATGGTGGGAAGATACGTGGTGAGCAGAGCAACGTTTTGCTCGACTCTGTGAGTGAAACATGTTCTAATTCCTTTCTCCCTATATGCGTTATTTTTTTTTCTTCAAGCGTGCATTTCACACAACCAATTTTAACTACTAATTTTGAATCAGTTAAAGATCCTATACTATCATTTACAAATGAATAAAATAGAAACGTTGCAGAAACAAGATCTACAGAGAACGAAACGTTGTGGTGATATATTCTTGTTCTGCGAGACGAGAGTCTTCCTCCCAGTTGACTGCAGTGCTGTGCAACACAGCCTCCCAAGAGGGTCACCAAATAGAACGTAAGGAACACTTAGAAGACCTAGGAGTAATTATGTCAGCGGACCTTTCTTTTAAAGACCATAACAAGACAAAGATCACGACAGCCAGAAGATGACTGGGTGGGTATTGAGAACTTTCAAAACAAGGGAAACAATGCCGATGGTGACACTCTTCAAATCGCTAGTGCTCCCTCACTTAGAATATTGCTCAGTGCTTACGGCCCCGTTCAGGGCAGGAGAAATATCGGAGCTGGAACAAATACAGAGATCGTTTACGGCTCACATTGAGCCAGTAAAGCACCTAAACTACTGGGAACGCCTGCAAGTCTTGAACATGTACTCATTGGGGCGGAGGAGAGAGAGGTGCATGATAATATATATCTGGAAGGTACTCGAGGGCCTTGATGTCCCAAAATTTGAAACGCCATAAGAGCATACTGGGAATAGGAAGATATGGAGGAAGATGTAATAAAAAACCAGTGAAAGCATGTGGCGGTGAGCTCGAGGACAATAAAGGAACACAAAGTCATCAACACCGGGGTCCCAGACTTGTTACATCTTACCAGAGAAATGGTATCAGCAGAACAACTGCTGGAACAAGTATGAAGCCTTCAAGAGGAACCTAGACAAGTATCTTCACAGGTGCCAGATCAACCAGGCTGTGATGGATATGTGGGGCAGCGGGCCTCCAGCAGCAACAGCCTGGTTGACCAGGCAAGCACCAGACGAGCCTGGCCCATGGCCGGACTCAGAGAGTAGATATACTCTCGAAATTCTTCAAAGGTATATCAAAGGTATATATATATTAAGCAAATATCGCAAACCAAGCGATACAAGATGCAAAACAACCACGGGGGGGGGGAGTAGAATGATAGCTCTAGGCCTTTCGTGCTGCAATCAACACATTATCAGGAGCTTGCAAAATTGCAGAAAAGGGGAGAATTTCCACGCGAATACGTTCCCAGAGGACCGCGTTTACTGGAGTGAGCGAGAAAGAGAGGGACAGAGAAGGTACTGGAAGTGCCCACGGGCACAAGCATTGATATTGTAACCTAAACGAAATTAACGTAGCAATAATAATAAATTCAGTCATATTCCGCTATGACAACAATAATTTTAAATACATATATAAATATTATCTGTGACAAAGAGTCACTGACAATTATATTATGTCCTCCACAGGACAACGTGTTCTTTAAATGAAGAGAGAAAATCTTAATATATAGAGGGAAGACTTCTAAAAGTTATGCAATTTTGCAAGCTCCTGATGATGTGTTGATTGCAACACGAAAGACCTAGGGCTATCATTCTACTCCCCCCGTGATTTTTTGGCAATTATTATATATATATATATATAATATATATATATATATTATATATATATATATATATATATATATATATATATATATATATATATATATGTCGTGCCGAATATGTAAAACTGGTCAATTAGCAAGAACTCATTTAAAATTAAGTCCTTTCTGAAATTTTTCTTATATGTTTAAAGATATATTTTTTTCATTAATGTTAATGTAAAAATTTATAATTTTGCACCAAAAGGAACTTAGAAAACTTACCTAACCTTATTATAACAAGAGCAATTTATTTTAGCCTAACCCAACTAAATATATTTTAGATTTGTTTACAATAATTTAATACTAAACAAGCACAGTGAAATATATTTTTTTCGATAGGTTCAGAATGAGTTTGGCGAAATTATTGCATACGCAAATTTTCACTTGTGCTATATGGCAAGATGAGCGTTGCTATTTAAGCCAAGATGGCAAGTTCTGCTTATTCGGCACGACATATATATATATATATATATATATATATATATATATATATATATATATATATATATATATATATATATATATATATATTATATATATATATATTATATATATATATATATATATATATATATATATATATATATATATATATATATATATATATACATATATATATCTGACTCTCAGATATATCTTATTTAATTAAAAACTCTCCAATTCCGACTCTTTCACCCGTTTTAACTATGTTTTACATTGTGCTTCGACTTCCAAATTTTAGTCCTTCGTAATATTAACAAACAGCTGTTTCAAGACCTAATCCACAAATAGTGAAACAAACCAACTTAATTTTTTATAGATGGAGAGAAATAGAATAAAATACATAAAATACCCAAACGATGGATAAAGACACAAATACATCATAATGCGATTCTTTATGGACAACGTTTCGCCCACATAGCGCGCTTTATCAATTCACAAACAGATCTGATAAAAGTTAAGACACACGTGCAACATCTGGTTATCTTTATTGTGGACGTTTCGCCATCCAGTGGTTTTATCAATACAGATTCTAGGACATAATTAGAAGACAGTCGAATTATATACAAAAGATTATGTCCTAGAATCTGTATTGATAAAGCCACTGGATGGCGAAACGTCTACAATAAAGATACCCAGATGTTGCACATGTGTCTTAACTTTCATCTTGTCGGTATTGTATACCTGTCTTGCACCACAAACAGATCTATCTGGCGAGATAGGATGTGCACTTGTGCAGATATATCGTGAGCGCAGTGACGTGAAGAGTCAGCTAAGGTGTGTTGACACTAATGTGGGCAGGTTGATGACAGGTTGGACAAGAAGAAGCAAGGTGTAAGGTGCAAATAATGACTTTTAGCGGAGTGGACGGAGAGGTTGGAAGGAACTGAATGACTGACGTAGTTATTATAATGGTCTGAAAAACAAGTAGCTATATCGGTTACAAGAATTTTAATTGTCAGCGAAAGGTTTCGGTATTATGACCAAAAGCTCCAGATAGAGGAGTTTCTGGTCATTGTACGGAAATTGCAAATGAAACGTTGTAAAATAACATGCAATATTGTGATATGTTTTCGTGTAGAGCTGCAGAATCTTTCAACAAAATAATAACAGAAAATATAGAAAATATAGAAAATAATCTGTCACCTGTAATTGAAGCCAAGACAACCTCGCTCTCTGTCGCATTCAACTTCGCACTCTCGTCTGTCGCGAGTCCGCAGAACTTTGCCACGGATGATGAACCGACGGTCGATCCTCTCTCTCGTCTTGACCAGCTCGTAGCAGCTCCCGCCTGTGGTGAGGACACAAGACATGAGGGGGAAAACTAAAAACCTAAGCTGAAGATTCTTGTAAAGGTGACCCGCTCACGGAACGTGGCCAAATAAATGTTGTTTTTTTTTTCTGCCGCCCAAGGTCATACGAACTACGGAAAATTATTTAGAATCACTAAGTAAGCGACAAGTTTTCAACACGTCCTGTAGGTGGATGAGCTTGTCACATCTCTGTAGCGGGCTGAAGTGCCCACACTACTTGTAGAAAAGGTAATGCCTATGTCTCTTGCGAGTCGAAAAGTCACAGCTGTACCAGCGAAATGCACAATAGGCGAAAATTCAACATTAATTAATTTGATAACGTATAAACACGATAATAACTTGCTGATGAAAGTCTGTATACAATGGCTGAAACAATTCACAAATAACCCGAGACTTGAAAATCAGTCACGAGAAACAAATTTATTTAAATCAAGCTTGAATTAATTCAAACTGGAAGCTTTGCTAGGTCATACGAGATATCTTTAGTTTTAGTGCATATTAAGAACTCAACCAGAAGCGAAGTTATGACACTGATATCGAGAATAAGCTAATACTTTAATGGTTGACTTGTATCGTTGACTCATATCAGTGACTCGCATCAGTGACTCGCATCAGTGACTGGCATCAGTGACTCGCATCAGTGACTCGCATCAGTGACTGGCATCAGTGACTCGCATCAGTGACTCGCATCAGTGACTCGCATCAGTGACTCGCATTTCTCGCCGCTCTGATTAACTGTGGCAAATGCGTTTTTTCCAGCTCATTAGTTTTCAAAGTCTTTGACAAGATTTATTATCGAATTCATCTCAAAACTTTATATCACTGAGTCCGTGTGACTTTCTCCCATGAACTCACGCAGATTTTGTGAAAATAATTGTCCGGCATTGGGAGTCATAATTTCAACCAGATCCTCTTCTGTTTCTATGACAATGAAATTTATCAATTTTAAATTATTCTTCTCATGTATACCATTTGATTTCCTAAGTTTAGTTTGTTAGGATTAAAATCTTTCGACTACACGAGGGTCATTAAGGCAGTATTTAACCAAAACACATTATTGATTATGCTTTAATGCCCAAGACAGATATTAAAATTGTCAGTGTATATCCGGTGACAGATACATATTTCTCAGTATATAGTTATATACATACCTCTCAGTGTATATACAGTTATATACATATCTCTCCGTGTATATAAGGTTATACAGATACCTCACAGTGTATTCACAGTTATATAGATACCTCTGTGTATATACAGTTATATAGATACCTCTCAGTGTATATACAGTTATATAGATACCTCTCAGTGTATATATAGTTATATAGATACCTCTCAGTGTATATGCAGTTATGTAGATACCTCTGTGTATATACAGTTATATAGATACCTCTCAGTGTATTTACAGTTGTACAGATACCTCCGTGTATATACAGTTATATAGATACCTCGCAGTGTATTTACAGTTATATAGATACCTTGCGGTGTATTTACAGTTATATAGATACCTCTGTGTATGTACAGTTGTATAGATAACTCCCAGTGTATATACAGCTATATAAATACCTCTCAGTGTATATAGTTATATAGATACCTCTCAGTGTATATACAGTTATATAGATACCTCTCAGTGTATATACAGTTATATAGATACTTCTCAGTGTATATACAGTTATATAGATACCTCTCAGTGTATATACAGTTATATAGATACTTCTCTGTGTATATACAGTTATATAGATACCTCTCAGTGTATATACAGTTATATAGATACCTCTCAGTGTATATACAGTTATATAGATACTTCTCAGTGTATATACAGTTATATAGATACTTCTCAGTGTATATACAGTTATATAGATACCTCTCAGTGTATATACAGTTATATAGATACTTCTCAGTGTATTTACAGTTATATACATACCTCTCTGTTCACAACACTTGGTCTCATTCCTTCTTCACACGTGGTTACCCTGACACTCAAAAGTCATGTTTGTGTGTTTATACTTAATATTTCTCCCACATTTTGGCGAAATAATTGATAATTTTTCCACGTCTCTTAATTCCTTTAAGTGTTTAGCGGGAGATCTGAAAACAATTTTCATGTTTCTTGGGAAATCCCATTACCATGTAGTGTTGTCTTCTTTGAACAACGACCTTCACAGCTGCTGCTCTCCTCGACGTGGCTGCTCACTGTCTTCTCTTATATTAATATTTCTGCTGTGTTCAGTTACATTTTTACTGAGCTCTGACTGTTTATACGGTTGCTGAAGGCAGACGATGTCCTAGCTGACTGACAACGATGAATTTGTAGATAAATGGTTCAGAGAACAGACATGTTGTTGAATTAGACACATGTGCAGGTCTTGGGTATCTTTATTGAGGAAACGTTTCGCCAAACAGTGGCTTCATCAGTCCATACTTGGGAATTCTTCACTTGCCTAACCCTTGGGCACGACCTACTTCCACATTGGACAAATGTGACACCACCTACGACTGCTGCCCCTCACCTGTCTACGGTTTTTAAGCTGCTTCTCCGCTCATATGCCGTATTCTATTCAAGATTGATGGACTGACCACATCGACTCAAGGCTGAGGGACCGATTACCTCATTTTCCTCCTGTTCTTCAAGTTTCTCCTTTGTATGGACTGATGAAGCCACTGTGAGGCGAAACGTTTCCTCAATAAAGATACCCAAGAGTTGCACATGTGTCTAATTCAACAACGATGAATTCGCCTCAGTGTGAGCCTATTCTCTCTCTCTCTCTCTCTCTCTCTCTCTCTCTCTCTCTCTCTCTCTCTCTCTCTCTCTCTCTCTCTCTCTCTCTCTCTCTCTCTCTCTCTCTCTCTCTCTCTCCTTAACCTCTATATCAGGACGATCATTTGACAATTGGCCACCCAGGGTATAAAAATAGTGGAGACAGTAGAGACAGGCCTCACACAGTATATATGCACAGAGGGATATTCTCTAAGCGTGTATATATAATGAGAGTTTACTCTACTCCCAGTTTAATTGATTAAAGTGTCCTTGTCTGGTAGTGAGCAGGTCATGTGCAGCCTTGTGCGAACCTGTTATGACTGCTTCGTGTAATTTCTAGTGTAACCGATAGGCTTTAAAATCTCATTAGCTGATAGATAATGCGGTGATGGTTGTGGTAATCTTAGCACTAGTAACCAACTACTCCATTCACCCTTTCCTTAAATATCCATGCATTTTTTTATATTGCCGTGGGATAGTTTCAGCTATCTGTTTCCAGCCGTAGCTTATCTTTCACAGCAGACAGCTTCAATAAGGATCACTGAGTCTCCTATTATCCGCCTCTCCCGCGTACTTCCTCTCTCGCTCTTCGCTTCTTTTCACATTGTGACCTCCGCACCTACGCATTTTCACTATACACTAGGCGTATCTGTCTTTCACTTAATACATTCAAATTATTCTAACACTGAGAAAGCCAGCTTTCCCTTATCTATAAGATACTACATCAATCACACCTTTAACAGACACCTGCGTGTGTCTACTGGTTCAGAACAAAAAAATGAAAGCAGAACTATAGAACACGTTATACACACTACCGCAGTGCTCTCCCCGCTAACCAAGCACGAAGTACGTGTATTATATATATCAATGTGTTCTCGTATTGCTAATTACAATTGATGAGTATCAGTCGCGATAGAAATTTTCGGTAATGAATCCTGTGTGGATGACGATCTGGCTCTCTCTACACCAGCTCACTTCAAGGGTATTGTTATCTCAGTGAAATATGTGAGTAGATCCTGGCTCACACACTTGTCACACACACACACACACACACACACACACACACACACACACACACACACACACACACACACACACACACACACACACACACACACACGCACACACACACACACACACGCACACACACACACACACACACACACACGCACACACACACACACACACACACACACACACACACACACACACACACACACACACACACACACACACACACACCAAGAAGGCCTTTGACACAGTTCCTCACAAGAGATTAGTGCAGAAGCTAGAGCATCAGGCGCATATAACAGGAAGGGCACTGCAATGGATCAGAGAATACCTGACAGGGAGGCAACAACGAGTCATGGTACGTAATGATGTATCACAGTGGGCACCTGTGACGAGCGGGGTCCCACAGGGGTCGGTCCTAGGACCAGTGCTATTTTTGGTATATGTGAACGACATGACGGAAGGGTTAGACTCAGAAGTGTCCCTGTTTGCAGATGATGTGAAGTTAATGAGGAGAATTAAATCTGATGAGGACCAGGCAGGACTTCAAAGAGACCTGGACAGACTGGACACCTGGTCCAGCAAATGGCTTCTCGAATTTAATCCTGCCAAATGCAAAGTCATGAAGATAGGGGAAGGGCACAGAAGACCACAGACAGAGTATAGGCTAGGTGGCCAAAGACTGCAAACCTCACTCAAGGAGAAAGATCTTGGGGTGAGTATAACACCGAGCATGTCTCCGGAAGCACACATCAATCAGATAACTGCTGCAGCATATGGGCGCCTGGCAAACCTGAGAACAGCATTCCGATACCTTAGTAAGGAATCATTCAAGACACTGTACACCGTGTATGTCAGGCCCATACTGGAGTATGCAGCACCTGTTTGGAACCCGCACTTGATAAAGCACGTCAAGAAACTAGAGAAAGTACAAAGGTTTGCAACAAGGTTAGTTCCAGAGCTAAGGGGAATGTCCTATGAAGAAAGATTAAGGGAAATCGGCCTGACGACACTGGAGGACAGGAGGGTCAGGGGAGACATGATAACGACATATAAAATACTGCGTGGAATAGACAAGGTGGACAAGGACAGGATGTTCCAGGGAGGGGACACAGAAACAAGAGGCCACAATTGGAAGTTGAAGACACAAATGAGTCAGAGAGATAGTAGGAAGTATTTCTTCAGTCATAGAGTTGTAAGGCAGTGGAATAGCCTAGAAAATGACGTAGTGGAG